ATTCAATTATTTTAAACAAGAAAGGGACTTTATTGGCTCACAAAACTTTAAAGTCCGGAGGTAGGGCAGGCTTTAGGCACAGCTGGATTGAGGGCCTCCAGGAAAAAAATAAATCAGAACTTAGATCTTTTTCCACTTGTGCTAGCCTCTTTAAATTTCTCCTCAATTCTGGGTTACATGGTTCTTGGTTCCTGGGATCTCCATAAAGCAGCTTCTTTCAAGTAGTTCCACAAGTTCTGTTGAGGACGCTCCTTAGCCTGGCTAAAGTCACATGCCCATTCTTCACCTGCTGTGGCTTGAAAGCTGTACAACTCAGGAGACTATACCTGGTCGTGTGCTCACCTAAGCCACAAGGAATGGGTTCCCAACAATAAGTAAAGGTTGTTTTCACACAATGGGGGAAAAACATATTGGACAAAAGGAACAATAGATATCTGTATATAACCTAACAGAAAAGCTGGCAAAGATACAGTCAACCCATGGTAAAACTATTAATGGCCATACACACGAAAACCCCAACCTCACCATTAGTCAAGGGAATGTAAAATAAGGAAGGATTCTTCCTTCTTTTATACCCAACAGATGAAAAAGTATAAGTAAAGCTATAAGGGGGAACGAGCACTTTGTGAACAGTAAGTGAAAATAAAAGTTAAAGGGAGTGAACCCTAGCCTTCAACATACACATTAGCAAATGAACACACACACCTGGTCAAGGAATTTATGTTGTCAGTGTAACAGGACAAAGGGAGTGGGGCATACTTAAGTTAAAACAATGGAATTTTCTACCCTACTCAGCCATCAAGATAAACATTTTTAATGATCTCAGAATCTGTTTGCATCCTTCCTCCCAAAAAATAAGCTACAGGACCATTCGCATGTAAGGTCTTACTTATGTAGAATCACTTGTAATTATATGCTGCAAATACATGGGAAAGGAACCAGACAGGCACATACTAAACTGTGGCAAGTGGAACACAACTGGAAGCATGGAGAAATCTGCTTTTATACCTGTGCATCAAATAATCTGTTTCATGTAATGAAAACGTAGTCATCATTTCATAATTTAAATATAGAAAATGGCAAAAGCCCACTCACAACACAAAATGCAAATTAGAAGAGGTAGGAAAATGTTCCTCCTAATAACCAATGAGAATGAAGCATTCTCCCTTCCAGACAGGCAGAAACGTCTTACGGATTCAGCCGTGGTGGCGAGCGTGGGAAAGCAGGCACTATCTGTGGAGTTGTAAATCGGTACAGTCGTTTTGGCGGCATTTTTCAAATCTCAAATGTACATTCTCTGTGACCTAGTTAATCCTTTTCCAGCTATGTATCCTACACAGATACCCGCAGAGCAAAATATGTGTATGTTAACCATGTTTTTATTCATAAAAAACTAATTATCCATCAATATGGTTTGCTTAAATAGTCATGCAATGGAATAGTACACAGCTGGCGAAAACACCCACTGTGTGGGAGGCAAACTTCAACGCAGCACTTGTAAAATGGATATACATACCTATCATAACTGAGGATTAAAAATGAATCCATGGTAAAAACACTTCAAACAGTGCCTGTGCAACAGTCAGTAACATATTTTTGCTTATAATATGTGCACATTTAGGGTCTGGTAAGGTAGCCTAGCAGATAAAGTCCTTGCCTTGCATGCGCCGGGATCCCATATGGGCACAGATTTTGGTCCCAGTGCCCATGCAGCTTCCCATCCAGCTCCCTGCTGTGGTCTGGGAAAGCAGTGGAGGACGGCCTAAAGCCTTGGGAGCCTGCACCCATGTGGGAGACCAGAAAGAGGCTCCTGGCTTGAGATCGGCGCAGATCCAGCTGTTGCGGCCACTTGCGGAGTGAATCCATGGATGGAAAAATCTTCCTGTCTCTCCTATCTATCTATCTTTCTAATAAAAAATAAAATAAATCCTGGGCACAGTACAATAGCATAGCAGCTAAAGTCCTTGCCTTGAACATGCCAGGATCTCATATGAGTGCCAGTTCTTATTCCGGCGGCCCTGCTTCCCATCCAGCTCCCTGCTTGTGGCCTGGGAAAGCAGTGGAGGACGGCTCAAAGCCTTGGGACCCTGCACCCACATGGGAGACCCGGAAGAAGCTCCTGGCTCCTGGCTTCAGATTGGCTCAGCTCCAGCCTTTGTGGCGGCTTGGGGAGTGAATCATTGGAGGGAAGATCCTCCTGTCTCTCTTCCTCCCTGTGTATGACTGTCCAATAATAATTAATCTTCAAAAAAATTTTTAAATCTTTAAATATATATATATATATATATATACACACACATACTTGTAATCCTTGAATCCTGACTTGAGCCTACAAGGGTACAATTATTTAAAAATATACATATATGTGCATATCTAGATCTGGAAGAACAAACCAAATTATCATTTTCTGGTAAGACTGTTTCATAACCTACACAGCATTACACAAGTGCTCATCTGCTGGCCACAGAAGGGTGGTGGTTATACCATGGCATGGAAACTCCCCACTACCAATTCATGAAAGGCTGGAACTCCCCAAAACTATGGATTATCTGAAGGGGTACAAATAAATGTCTGGGAATCAGATCACTAAGCAATTATTTTTTCAATTTTTACAGTAGACTTAAACCTAACAGATGATCAGTAAACGCCCCATCACTTCCTTTGCCTGTGTTCCACCATCCAGTTTTCAAGAGGTGGGGGTTCTAGTCCCTTTCCTCACAGTCTTGCCTAAGCCGAAGAATTCTTTCTGAACAATGCACACCTATCAGCACTGGAAAGACAAAAAAGGAGAGAGACTTGCCAACTTTCATATTTTTTCTATGTTCTCACATTACCAAATACCTTTGGCATTTATGACAATTTAATAACATGGATGTTTTGTTATGTAAAGATAGATCTTACGTAGCATGAAATCCCACCCAGAGGGTGCTCCTTTCTTACCCACTTGGATATAAAAATTCTGTCATCCCAGGAGTCTTCCAAATATGCCACCTTAAAACCTACTTGGAAAGAAGTCAGTCATACATAAATAATCAACCCAAGATCATTTTACCTTACGCAGAGGAGTTTATAGCTTTATTGGACACTGACTTGTTTTCTCTCAGCCACAAGAGGAAAAGACCCAAACAAAAAGTCCCTACATTTCTTGTATAACTTAAAATACATATCATTACTACATATTTATACTTCAATATATCTTAATCTATAAAGCACATTTCTTATAATTATCAGAAAATCTATAAACAAGCTCCCTTCTGCCTCACATCTCCACCACTGGCCTTGCAGTTATTACTATGCTTTATTTAATAGGCTCATGCATCTCCCACCTTCCATTTTTCAATTTGATCCAAGTACCAGATATAACCAATATCTCTGGAACTACGTAGTATTTGTATTCACATGGCTCATTTCCCACACATGGCCCATTGTATATATATAGATATGTAAAAACCTTTTCTCATACTCTATATTTTACCTTCCAGAGTTTTCCACTAAACAGTAGAACCACAGTACTTGGGATTACCAGCAAAGAGGTAAATAATCCTACTACTACAAATTACTTCAGTACATTTTTTAAAAAAATGTGTTAAGATTGAAAAGTTTAAAAAACTGTTCGATCAATTCTGGCAGTTAATAAACTAGTTGTTAATAGTCTAGCTTATTTCTTATATGGAACAGTCCATTTAACTTAACATGTAGGTACAACCTCAATGCTACTTGAGTTTGATTAGTTGTCTTAAAATTTACAAACCTCCAAACTACTGAAAGAGAACTATCTTGGCCTCACCTCTGAAAAAGTGTGGGAGAGTTGGCGGTGAGCTCTGTAAGTGGCGCCCATCCCACCTCAATGCAACCTACTGGTGCGAGAACTTTAGCTCTGGAAATCTCAGAAGAGACTTTCCCCAGTTCAGACAGGGAGAAGAGGCTACTCATGCCCTACAACTTTGCACCAAACACTGTTATATGGAAGAAACACCTACCTAAGTAGGATACAGTAACTTAGCACAGTGCCTTTAATCTAGTGTGCAATGCTTCCGTACCAAAGAAATAACAGTAAACCTGATTATTTGTTGCCCACCTGTCAATGAATTTTATGCTTAACAAAGAAGGAAAAATAGCCCAGACTGTTACTTTTATATTTGCCCTTTACACTATATTCGTTACAAATTCTTTACAAGTGTTACACTTCTATCTTTCTAATTTTACAATTGTTTAGACTACCCTTTAGTAATACCTAGAGAAATATTTATCTTCATTAATTGGATGCCTCCAAATTACAAATGAAGAGAGTTTTCCTACAGGTGAATGACTACATTTAGATAAAAACCGATCAAAGTATTTGCAGTATCTTCCCCAATCTAGATGTCCCAAACACTTTTTGATGTTTTATCAACACCATTTCTTACCTGAGATCTTAAGGCTCATTTTTTTTTTGAAGTTTTTAGTCATCTTTTATCTTCTATTTTCTTAAATGCATAAATTATGTAAAAAGGAACAGGGTCAATTCTTAAAAGACAGTTTAAAAAGTAAGTTTCAGATGGATTTCAGATTTTTTAGTTCTTCTATGCTGCTTGCTTATCAATGTAGAAGGGAATGTATCCTTACAAAAAACATTTCAACAATCAACACAACCTACTGTCTAAAAAAGAAAACTTTGAAGAAAGGGACAAAGCATCAGGCAGTTCATTATCTGCAAAAGAGAACATAAACATCATGTGGAAAATTTAGTTATTAACACCTGAATTAGATTGAATTTCAGTTTCTAGGTAAGTATGACACCACTTCATTAAGATAAAATAGTAATGGTGAGTAAAGATTTTTAACATTTCCAAGCAGATTTTCTGACAGTCAATAAGGAAAAAAACTAATAAGTAATATTTCACGTTTTAAATTTTTGTCTTCATTTCTGAAGAAAAAGACCTGAGTGCTGATTTTTATTTTTTTAATTTCTTAAACTTTCACAACATTCAGAAGTTTCTCCGCATTGTGTCTTCTCTGATGTCGAAAAAGATTTGAGCTTTGACTATATGACTTCCCACACTGAACACATTCATAAGGTTTCTCCCCAGTATGGATTCTCTGATGGTTAATAAGCCCAGAATTCTGGCTAAAGGCTTTCCCACATTCAAGACATTTGTACGGTTTTTCACCAGTATGGACCCTCTGGTGCTGCACAAGGATGGAGCTTCGGCTGAAGGCTTTCCCACACTCAACACATCCGTAAGGTTTCTCCCCACTGTGGATCCTTTGATGAAGAATGAGGGCCGAGCCCTGACTGAAATGTTTTCCACATTCATCACATATATGCTGTTTTTTCCGAGAGGGATTTCTCTTTCTTTCAAACCTGCCCTTGGGGAAACAAGCTTCTCCATATTTAAAAATCTGAGGGACGCCTATATTCAGAGCGCCAGGAACTTCATGAGACTCTGCTGCCGAAGGGATCTCCTGCTTGGGAGCTAGTGCTCCATTTTCAGTCCTAGTATCATCATCTGAAACAAACACAAAGTGTGAATATCACTCGTATCTTATTTCAGGGAAAAAGAACCATTTAAAAAATGAACTAAAAATATGTTAGGAACACCTACAACAGCGTTGTGAAAAATCTGTAAGTTGCCTACTATCGACACAGGAAAAAATGAAATGACTAATTATGAGATTATTGAGATAACAGCATACTGGTATAAAAGGTTGTAGATAAAACATAAGCAAGAAGATTATAAACAGCAAGATCTGGATCAAACTTTCTAAGAAAAAATTAGGAAGCAGCTGTAATGTTATTTTGGTTTGATAAAGGGAGAAAATGCTGATGTAAATGGTAAGGAATCTGCCAGAAAATCGCTATTTGTGAAATGAGTAAAATAAGGCAGAAACAGTCAACATTAGACTGTAAACTGAATATCCATATCAGAAAGAACTAAAGCAAAGCTGGAAGCATTCTTTAACTCAAGACATATCACAAACATATTCTGAGTAAGAAAGATTTTCTATAAAATGCAACCTGCTCTGTTTGGAATGCCATAACACTGAGAAAAAAAAGTACTACATCGATGGAAAAAGAAGCCTGAACTATCAACATGTGGTACCACTACCCACCCAAAAGAAGAGGTAAGAATCAAGTCTCATTGAAACATTTCCTGCAGTCTCAAACCTTAACAAATGAAGGTACAGTTCACAAGGCAATCACCAGCACTCAGGAGAGTGACAGAGTAAATGATTAACAAAAGGATATTAGGGAAGAAAGCTAGCAGACACACACGGGGAAAGGGGATTTGTGAAACCTGGCAACGTGAGATGTGTGCATGAAGGGTGAGTGGAACAAATGGCATACTTTTCCAAAGGATGGCAAAGAAGAGACTGCTGAAATGAGACTCAGGAAAACATGCAATGTAATGTTCATTCTGAAATTAAGTTAAAGGACCCAAACAGAGGCCCAGGTCCCCTCTGGCCTGGCCCAGTCTGGCCACTGGGGACAGAAGCCAGCAGACTGAGGAGTTCTTTCCTTGCTTTTCCCTCTTTCTGTACTATTCTGCCACTCAAACACTTAAAAAAAAAAAAAAGCAAAGTTGAAAATAGCTACAAATTCAGAGAATCTCCAGTGATATACAATACACTAAGAGGAGAGGCTTCAAATCAGCTAATTATACCAGTAGATCAGACAGAATTCTGAAAGTAAAAGAAGATAAATAAACAATAATATATGCACAATATAGAGGAACCTGGTCTATCTACATACATGCATTCTCAAAACAAGGCAGCTGCCAGCCTGACATGGCAAGGTCTGCAAAAAGTCTGAATGGGAAGAAAAGGCTAAAGATGCTAATCTCTAAGAAATGAAAGACTGGGTCCAGCGGCATGACCTAGCGGCTAAAGTCCTCGCCTTGAACACACCGGGATCCCAAATGGGCGCCGGTTCTAATCCCGGCAGCTCCACTTCCCATCCAGCTTCCTGCTTGTGGCCTGCGAAAGCAGCAGAGGACAGCCCAAAGCCTCGGGACCCTGCACCCGCGTGGGAGACCTGGAAAAAGTTCCCGGCTCCTGGCTCCGGATTGGCACAGCACTGGCCGTTGTGGTCACTTGGGGAGTGAATAACTGGATGGACGATCTTCCTCTCTGCCTGTCCTCCTTTCATATCTGTCTTTCCGATAAAAATAAATTAATCTTAAAAAGAAAAAAAAATGAAAGATACTGTAGTAGTAATATAGTGGAACTTGGTGAGAGGGTAAGGGACATCCCAGGGCCTAGGGAACTGTATCATAAAATGATAGTAATAATAATAAAAAGTAGTAAAATAAAAAAAAAATTGTCTATATATATATGACATTCACTTATTCTGTAATTTTGAATGAGGAAGACTGGAAACTTTTTACATATAGAAATATTCATTTTCTTGTAAGTTTGCAGTAATGCTTGGTACGCAGAAAAATGATGGAAAAAGGCAATAAAGTTCTGCTTGTTTCAGTTTGTTGTTCTTACATTAAAACAAAACAACCCTCCCACCCCCCGAAAAAAATAAAAGAAGTGAAAAAGGGGCCAGCGTGATGGCACAATACGAATGCTCCACCTCCAGCACCGGCACTTTTATATGAGCACTGGTAAAGTCCCAGCTGCTCCACTTCCAATCCAGCTCCCTGCTAACGGCCTGGCAAAGCAGTGGAATATAGTCCAAAGCCTTGGACCCCTATACCTACATGGGAGACCTGGAGGAAACTTGTAGCTCCCAGCTTCAGATCAACCCAGCTCTGGCCCTTGCAGCCATCTGGAGAATGAACCAGCAGACAGATCTCTCTGTCTCTCCCAACTGTTCCAAGCAAAAATAAATCTTAAAAATTAAAGTAAGCAAATGAACTGCTGTGTCTAGGGACTTAGGTTAAGAGAATCCTGCCCCCCAACAGCACCATGATGAGAACAGCCCACAGCACAGCACTGGCCACTTCTCACCACAGTGCCTGAGCGAATGCAGCTCCCAGGACGCCCACTTGAGCTGGTTCTCCACAGCGTCAAGCTCAGAGCTGGGTAATCCTGGAGCTTCTTCTGGAGACACTATTTCCTCTACCAGCACTTCCCGCTTGCGCCGCCGAAGAGAAACCTGCAGGGAAGATTTGGTTCAGCTGAAAAGCAATTTTGATGAGAATCGGAACAAAACACATGTAAGAAACCACGCAAAACCTATGCACGCAAATTAAAGCTTGTGGGGGAAAGGGGTTGGCATTTGGTCCAGAGGTACAGTTCCCACATCCCTGCTCTAACTACCTGTTTCAGCTCTGCTCTCCATCTCAGCTTCCTGCTAACATGTACCCTCCAAGGCTGCAAGTGACGACGGCTCCAGTTGGGACCCTGCCACCCAGGTGAGGGAACCGCACTGAGCCCTGGGCTCCCAGCCCTCATCGCAAGCATTCAGTTAAGTAAACTGCTGGATGGGGGCTCTGGGTCTCTCTCTACCTCTTACACACTTTTTAATGGAAAATATAATTAAAAGGCACTTTCTTTGAAATCCATTCAAATTCCCATGAACTTTTTGATGACCCCTCATACACACAGATTGCAAAACTGGCACCAACATAAAACTATCATTTTCCATTCTGAAACATCTTCTAATTGCAAAACTGGCACCAACATAAAACTATCATTTTCCATTCTGAAACATCTAATTGCAAAACAGCACAAATAACAGGAAGCAGCAGGGAGAGGGGAGAAGGCATCAACCTAAGTCTGATTGAAAAAAAATCAATTTAGCAGATTCGCCTACTACAATGCCAGCACTTCTAACCCAGCGACGTGGCCTGAGGCTCACCGGCTGCCCAGGGTCATCGAGTTCACTCTCCAACTCCTCCAGCACCGTCACTGCCTCCTCCCCATTCTCGGGATGATGCTCTCGAACCCACGTCTGGAGCTCCTTGGGCAGGATGGCCACAAACTGCTCCAGCACGACCAGCTCCAAGATCTGTTCTTTCGTGTGCGTCTCTGGCCTCAGCCACAAGCGGCAAAGTTCTCGAAGCTGGCTCACGGCTTCACGGGGCCCTGGGGAATCCTGGTATCCGAACTGCCGGAATCGCTGTCGGAAAACCTCGGGCTCAGGGAGATGGCCCCAGGGGATGCTCGAGCCCTCTTCACCAGCGGGGTCCTCCTCCAACTTCACTCGCAGAATTTTTTCCTCTTCATCTGGGTTTGGGATGATAAGTATGGCGTCTTCTTCCACGGACTGTGCTGACATTCTGATTTACAATACTTTAAGACAATCAAGGCAAGAGATGAGCCTCTTCACAGGCACCCCTGAAGCACAAGAAATAAAAGATACAAAAAATGACCAAAAAGCCTGAGAATCTGGACTTAAAAAAGAAGTAAACGATGCTTGCTCTTTAACTGAATTAACATTTTAATCAGTAACTTACACCAGGAACCTGAAACCACAGCTCATGGCCAAAACCAGCCTTCTACTTCTGTAATAATGCTTGTACCAAGAATATTTTTCATATTTTTAAAATATTTCATTATATGAAAATGACAGGAAATTAAAATGCCCATGTCCAGAAATAATTTTATTTGTTCATGATTCACATTACAACAGTAGAGCTGGCAGAACCAAGTAATTTCAACAGAAAAGAGAATAGGCCTGAACGGCCTAATAGTTACTAACTGTCCCAGCACAGAAAAAGCTGCAAGTTCAACAAGCCCTATTTCAACAACCAAATGAATGGAAACAAGCAACCAGCACAGTGGCTAAGACACCCACATCTCCTGCTGGATGTGACGCTCACTCCGGATTCCAGCTTCCTGCAAACACAGGCCCCGGGAGGCAGCAGGCAGCACCGAGGGTTCCTGTAAGAGGCTCCTGACCCTCCCCTGGGAGACCAGGACCAAGCTCCCGCTCAAGCCTAACTCCAGTCCAGCTGCTGTGCACATCTGGGGTGGTAACTGGTGGACGGGAGGTCTGTTGCCCCCTATCTTTTTGAAAAGAAACTACAATAAAGGCTCTTGCCCAGGATTTCCCTTGCTTCTTTCCTTTTGACGGACCCTAGCGCTTCCGCTGTGCCTCATCGCATCCACTTCAAACTCTTAGGCCAAACTCTTAGGGACAAACGCTTACAGAAATAAAAGTAGTAGCTCAACCTCCCTCACTGTGGCCCCAGAACACTGTCTTTGCAAGTAAGGACTGGGGTTCCAACACACTTAGATCAACCCAATCAATGACCACGTGTTTCTTAGAAGGCATTTCCAAAACTCCTTTGACTTAAAATACACGTGAAAACACATTCACTTGCTCCTAACAGATCACAGCATTTTAAAATCAATTAATATTGAAAAACATT